TATACACTTGCTTACATTATCACATTGTGAGGGCTTGCTTCCTTTTGAGGGACAAGAAACTGTGATTCTCCTGGAAATAGCTGTTGGGAAAAAAGCCCTTTGATGTGATGGAAACATGTGTTTGTCTGTGTGTGTTTCAGTTGTATAATTTTGGAGAAACGGTGTCTGTAGTGTTTTGGACAGAGACGTGGAGACCAGAGAGCTTCTACGACAAAATTTGTAAAAACCGAACAGCTGGACTGCACACACTCTGTCTGCTGGGTGAGGCTTGCACACAAACACAGACAAATCTCCTAAAATAAAATCCACAATATCCAAGATAAAATTATAATGTAAAACAAAAAAACACGATAATAGAATACAATTATTTATATTTGAAACAAAAACCGATACCACTGAAATTTTCATGTTATTTTCTAAACTGAATTGAAATCATTTCATTAACAAAGTAGAAAAATATATATATCCAAGAAAAGTAGTACAATTTAGTAAAAAATAATGATGAAAGAAGGCATTTTAACATAAAAAAACGTATTAAAAATGTAAAACATTATTGAAAATATGCAAACAAAAGGTCTGAATCAAAACACAAGTCATTGTGAATTAATCTGAAATAATGCTGATGGCCATCTGAGGCTCTTTTATTTTTTTCTGTAATGAATATTTAAAACACACCCACTCACCAGCAGGTCATCCACCTCCCACTGGACTCCTAATTTATGGGCGTTTGGGGCATTTGGGGTCCCTGGGATGATTGATGCTGGTGTCCGTACCTCATCTATTACTTCTCCACACACACATTTACAAAAGAGCACGGCCATGTTTTTTGACTTCACAAACACGGCAGGACACCCAGATGAGCCATTTATTTATTTCAAGAATTCACTATGATTTTGGACATTTTTAACATAATAGGGAATTATTCATAAGTAAGTAAAACAGCAACAGTGATGAAAAAAGCTGCGTCATAATTAAAAGAGATTATTTACAGACACTGCACAGCTTAAAATAGAGCATTAAATAAAATATTACGAAAATAACAGCCATACTGTTACGTGATCGGTGAGATTTCTCTTTAGCTGACAGAAAATAATAAGATTTTGCTGAAATGTTTCACCCTACTTTAGATTTTTAGTTGGCCAGAAGGGCAGGTTTCATGGAAACCCAAGTTTGTGAATGCGATGAATCAAGAATAGGGCGACACAGGAGCTTCAAATTACCATAGGTGTATTTATTTAAATAATCAGTGACCTTGACCTCAAGGTCAGAGGTTTTCTTAAAATTGTGTGAGTGAGATAACTCGGGAACAAGGTGACATATTTTAGAAATTTGTACTATGGGTGTGTGAGGGATGGCACTGGCGGTCGACAGCATTTTTTTATATAATGTTTTTTTGTAATGTTATGTGGTTTGTTGTCGAAACCTCAAGAACCTTCAGTCTGCAATATGACAGAAATTGTTTATTTGTAAATTGGTAACTGGGTAGCTGTGGCTCAGGAGGTAGAGCAGTACTACTACTGTCCATGGATGCACTCATTAGAGTGAGAATGTTAGCTAGAAAGCACTTAGGCACAGAAAAAGTGCTTGTATGACTCGGTGAATGAGGGTTGTACTTGAAGTGCTCTTAGTGCTCAACCAGAGTATTAAAACGCTCTATAAAAACCAGTCCATTTACCAGAATACTTACTTACATTCTTATCCATCCATTCTCTTCTGCTTAATTAATTTCCTGTGCTTGATTCTAGTAAAAATAAAAGCATGGTTTGGAAATGTTTTGTAAATTCTGTACTGTGCTTGCATGGTGCTTTTCTAGTTTGACCACTCAAAGCATTTTTTTTTT